GAACTGTATAGTGTGTATGAGTGTAGTATATACTTCTTGTGCAAGTGCAATATTTATATAAAACCCATAGTATCTATACATGATATGTAATATCTGTCGTGCAGAGTGTAGTGTGTGGATATAGTGTCTACATTGTAGTGTCGTATCTGTTCTTTTGTGGATGTAATATTTGTGCAATGTCTATAGTATCTGTTCTTTTGTGAGTGTAGTGTTTGTAGTATCTGTTCCTTTTTTTGATTACCGATTCTCGAAACTTTTGAAAAAGGGTTAGAGCTGTTAACGGTCTAGGGGTGAAAGGGCATCGCGCTAATCTAACATTGATTTTATATCTCAACAATAAACTAAGCTGTCAAATGGTTCTCTTGTATCATTGCCTGTTACCCCTCGTCTCGAACTAATGGGTCACCTCAATATTTCATATGCTCATTCAACAAATTTTGTATATTCTTTATCTAGAGAAATGAAAGAAGCATCTATTTAAGCATTTCTATAACATCCACCTTCTACCTTTAAGTTCAAACTTTAATATATACATATCCCTATTGTAAACCCCATGAATTTTCCATAAAGAAATGTGCTACATTCTTGTATTATCAAATTCAAATCCACATAATTGATATAAGCCGAGAGCCAATTCCAGTAGCCTTTAAGGATTAAGTAAACATTCCTCCAAAGTTCCAACTTATGCATTCCTTCAAATTCTACTTTAACATGCTGGCAAATATCACCGAGTTAAATGTATATTAAAGAATAATAATAGATTTACATACATGCCATTTAATTCCCAGGAGGCAAGAAAAAGGAATAACATAAAGTTTACATAAATGTTTTCGGGTAAGGCAGCAGAGAAACTCACGGCTAAGGAACACCAAAAGGGAATATCAACCTACACCCACAGTTAAAAGAATAATAGAAAGGCCTATAACCAGAGGAAGCAATCAAGAGATAATTAGATTCCAAAGTAAGTTCCAAGAAAAGCTTTTAGCAGAAAAACGAATTTTCATCAACAGGTATATATATTTTATTTTATTTTATTTATTTATTTATTTATTTGCATAAGGAACCACAGGAAGCAAAATCTAGCCTCAAGATTAAGTATCCAAAGCCACAAACAACTCCCATAAGAGCAGCAGTGGCAAATCCAAAGTATTATAGCAATTTTCAAAATCCGAAAATGATTTTTTGATATTTATTCAAATAAGATAGCAAGGGGAGTAGGAACTACAGCTCCAAATGTATATTCCAATCATAAAAAAAAATTTCTAACAGCTATTCAAACAAGGAGAAGTAAAGAAGACCAAAATCGAACTCCAAATATACTTCCAACAAGTCTCGAACAAAGGGGAAGGCAAGGAGGAACAAAGGGAAGCAAAGAGAGCAAAAAAAAAAAAAAAACCGAGCCCCCATACAGCTACTCAGTGCACCAAAATATTTTCAATGTTCATACTCGAATAAAGAGGCAGCAAGAAGTAAAACCGAGCTACCAATACTGACCACTCAAAGCATAAAAATGATTTCCATCATGTGTTTAAACAAAGAGAAGCAAAGAGAGCAAAACTGAGCTCCACAAATCCCCTTCAAGTTCTAAAAAAGTGATTTCCATCATATATTTAAACAAAGAGAAGCAAGGGAGCAAAACCGAGCCTCACAAAGACTTCTCAAGGCATAGAGAAACGATTTCCATCATATAATTAACAAAGAGAAGCAAATAGAGCAAAACCGAGCCCCACAAATCCTCCTCAAATCATTCAAAATAATTTCCATCGAATGTTTAAACAAAGAGAAGCAAAGAGAGCAAAACCGAGCCCTACAAAGACTTCCCAAGGCATTCAAAAACGATTTCCATCGTATAATTAAACAAAGAGGTGCAAAGAGAACAAAACCACTACTCTAAATTAATTCGCAAAACTAAAGAAAGGCCTCCAATATATTTATTTGAATCTCCAACATGTATATTCACATAGAGGCAACTAGAAGCATAGACAACCAGCCTCCTCAAAATTGATCAGAATTATAAAACAGATTCCAAAATCTTTACTCGAATAGAGGCAGTGAGAAGAACAAAAAGAGGAGTCTCGAAATTGATTCTCCATAACGAAAATATTTCTAATATATGCGTTCGAATAAGGCAGCAAGAAGAGTAAGAATCCAGCTCCAAATAAATTCCCAAGAACCGAAATATAAACTGCTATACATTTTGAATGAAAATAACAAAAGATCAGGGAGAATGAACTCTTAAATTTTATTAAAAAAAATTAAAAGAACATAGTCATTAAACATATTTGAATTAGAACAGCATCATAATAAATGGCTCTAGATATTTCCATCAAGCTAGAAAACTTCTCCACAGTATATTCGAATGAGGCAGTAGAAATAATGGAATCGTAGCATCAAGCCATTAAAAGCAAATTTAAAACCATCCATATCTCAAACTAATAGTCTCTAACCTGAATCCCTTGCTAGTTCAAGAAGGGAGAGGGTGGAGGAAAGATTGTAGGAAAGTACGCTTCCAAAAAATCGCAGCACTATATTTCTCCAAAGTCTCCAAAGAAAAAAAAAATCACCCCCATCTTCCTCCCCCATGGGGTATTTATAGGTAGAGATGAGAGAATGGCTCACCGGCGGTGAGCAACGGGACGGTGATGAGAATCACCCACGAAGGGTAAGTAAAATAGGAAGGTTATCGGACTCGTTTAGGCGGGAAAGTTCGTTACGATAGGCTACCGGCGAGGCCACCGGCGACGAAGGCTCGGAAAGGGAAGGGATGACCGACAAACTGACAAATGGCTCGGGTAGGGCAAAAACAGAGGCACGAGGGAGTTTATATTTTTAGGTTTTAAAAGATTATGTTTTATAAAAAAAAAAACTTTATCAAATATATTTTTATTTTATTAAAGAGAATATTAATAAAATATTAAATTTTGTGTAATCCACTCGCGCTCGGAGCCCTGACAAAATGGGTGTCCTCCCTAGCTAAAATCAACGTCCCGGACACAATAGCGCAGTCCGTTTCATCATCCGGAGTCATCTGGACAAATTCGTCGTAGATCGCGTCAAATTAACTTCGATTCGCCCGTGACACGACAAATGAAATCATTTTGAGCCGATCGGAGCCGTTTAACGAGTATGATGAAAATATTGACCGGTCCTTGCATGAGCAACAACTAAAGTTAAATACGACGCCCGCAGTGGCAAGTTAAACAATGCACGCGCCACGGTGTCCACCTACGTCTTTCAAATTTCTATAGGAGCTCAATTTGAGCTTCAATATGTCGGTTTTTCGATCGACTCAATCGAATGTTGAGGATCTAAAACCGTCCATATGAAACTACAAAGAGTGAGGAAATGACTTGAATTTCTAAGGGGGGGTGAGTCTCAGTCTAGTCCTCTAAGAGAGTCAAAACAGAGGAATCTTAAGGCTAGATCCTGCTAGATCCTAGGGTATCTAGCTAGAGAAGGGGAAAAGAAGACCTCCAAAATGAGGTCAACATAGGGCTGATATGGAGAGGTGTTGGTGACTGCTAGGGAATTAGAAAGGTGAAGCAAGATGGTAGGTGGGTTGGACAACAGAGGAGCTGCAGTTAGAGGTGGTTCGGAGCGTCTGGAACAGCTCCAAGGAGGATTCTGGCGGCTGTCACAGTAGTAAGGCTGTAGTAAGAATGATTATGGGCGGCTGGCAGCAATAAGGTGGCAAGGAGAATGATTCGGGGTGGTTGCAACAACAACGGGGGTGTCGGAAGAATGTTTCTTGGCAGTTGGCTAAGTCGGGTGGTTGGGACAGCACAAGGGGGATGGTTCTAAGTGGCTGAAACAACATAAAAAATGATTATTGCGGTTGGAACAACAACAAGGACACAGGAGGAAGGATTCTAGGTGATTGGTAACAAGGAAGGGTGGTTGGGAGAGCTGGAGCTGCAGAAAAACAACTGGGATGTGGCTGTCGGAACTGGAGCAATGAGGAATGCGTGGCGGCGAAGCGAGACATATGTTGTAGAGTTAGGGAAGGATAAACATGACGTCGGGAGTGAGATACAATCGGAGGACCACTCAACCCTTGGAGGAATATCCCCACTTCGGAAAGTATTACATTCGGAACACCACTCGCACTCGGTTACAACCTCAGAAGGGAAAAAAGGGGACGCCGACGGCTGTCCTGACAGAACACAGGCAAAAAAACTGCAAACCTAAAATAAATGAAACACATATATAAACTCTCGATAATTAGGATTCAGTCCCTCTGTGAAAAAGAGGCGCCAACCCTCGTGGAAGAGCTGGCCAGCTCTCCTAGGCTTTAACAGCTTGGTCCAGTCATTCCGGAACACGAAACGTCTCCCGTGCTCGTGAAATCCCGCATCCAGAAGCTCGTTCCCGCATCATTCCCCTGCACCCACCTTCCTGACTTCTTGCACCCAAGCTTCCGCGTTAGGGAATGTGATGGGAAGGAGGACAAAAGGAAATGGCTTATTTGGAGAAATAAGCTTAAACTTATTTGGGATGCAAAATGTCGTGTATTAGGATCGGACAAAATAGCTTGGTTGGTTGGTCGGGCTTAGGGCTTAAGCTGGCTTGAGCTTAACCAAGGCCCCAATCAAACAACCGCTAAGTGTAAGGCCGGTTGTGGAGAAAATATAAACACATATATATTGAGCTATCTCATTGTGTAGGACTAGCGCATCTCTTTCTCGCTTTTTCAAATTTTTGTTCAAGGTTGATTTTAAAATTCCTCGGGACACAAAGCAAGAGCATTTTTTTTGCAATCTATTCCAATCTAAGTGTAAATATGAAACTTTTAGATGTTTGATATGTAATACATGAGAACTTATGTAAATTTTCCATAAAGCAAGCTGCTCAGGGCTGCATTTTAGTTTGTATTTTATTATGTTTTGGCATGTACATAATATTTTTATAATATTCTTTTCACAGCAATGCACAACAAAATACTTTAATTACGCATCCTCCTCAACCTTCTGATAATCCAATTCCATTGAATTCTTCTATAGGCTCAACTTGGGAAGATTGACTCTGGCTTGAAAGAACTTGGCCAATCTGTTGAAAAGCTCAAGAAAGATGGCAAAAATATGATTTTGAGAGCCAGTTTTGGAGAGGAAGAATTACAACGCGGTCGGACTAAAATAAGGTTTGTTAGGTCTAATTTTAAAAAGCAAGATTTACATACATAACGTGCAGTTCCTATGTATTTACATATTTAAAGGCCGAACTTTAATTTTTTACATTTATACCATCCTACTTATGCATGGAAAGGTGTATTTCACCTTTTCAAAGTCAAAACAGTTGAATTTTTTTATGTGAAATGAAAGACAGGTGGTATAAATGTAAAAAGTAAAGTTTAGGTAATGGACATGTGAATCCATAGGATTTGGGTGTTATGCATGTAATTGCCCCTTTTAAAAGCTGAGTTATTCGGCGTTAGATGAGGCGAAATGATAGTATTATTGATCACTTAAAGTTGTTACCTCAATAGGGATGCAGGTAAAGAAATCCAAAGGTTGGTCAAATCAATTTATAAGATCGAATCACAAGCAGCAGGTATGAACTGTGACTCGATATGTAGGTTAGAGTTAGTCGCGTCGACGACTCAATTTTGAGCTGACTCGGTGCTAGCTCAAATATTAAAAGATGGCTCGAAATTTGCTAGTGGATCAAGTTGATTTGATTTCTATCCGGCTTCAAATCATTTGTTCACCTGTTTCTCCAATTTTAAATTATTTGGGGCATTTACTTATTATACCACCCAACTCTTATGTTTTTACATACATAACACCTAAACAACACCAAGGTGTTATCGGTATAAATATCAAACGTTGTGTGTTGATATGTAAATACATAAGAATATGTAAGTTTCTCTTATTTATATTCTAAACTGGCTCAATCTGTAAAATCAATTTAATTTTGGAGCAATTTGTTATATTTGATTTAAAATAGCAAACCTAAATCCAATTAGTTTCTCATACTTAACAAGCATCTTGATCCTCAGATGTGATGGATGGACTGCGTGTAATCTCTGGCAGAGATGCTCTGAAACTCCGAGCTGAAGTAAGATACATATATGAAGATTTTTCAGTTTCAGAACTATAATCCGTTTTTATTTTTATTTTTTTGGGATAATTACATATAGGGGTGTAAACGAGCCGGCTCGTTTATATTTCGAGCTCAAAAAGTGTGTTCGTGTTCGACTCGTTTGCTTTGCTAGCCGAACACGAGCCGTTTACGAACAAAGAGTCATTTTAACAACCCTAATCACGTAGTTATAAGATGTTAAGGATTGAGACAAGATTTAAAACATCGTTTGAATCTAATTTATTAATTTTTATTCTATTTTCTTCATTAATACTTTTAATTGATTATAAATCTTTGTAGCCTTGTAGTCAATTATTTTTTTTGAAAATACTACTCATCAAAGATATATATGTAATTGATTGGTAGTATTTCGAGTCAAAACGAGCCGAACACGAATGAACAAATATTTGTTCGTGTTCGGCTCGTTAACTTAGCGAAGAGCTTCTTAACAAGATGAACACGAGTTGTTCACGAACAACGAGATATTTTGACAGCCCTAATTACATATAGATCACCCAAGACATTGATATTTACAATTTAAGCACCCAATTGATTTTTTTGAACTACCAAACCGAATGTATTTACACGTGTCAAAATCAAACAAACCATTAAGAGTTTGATGAAAAGGAAAACTATGGGTTGGGTTTTACCATAAATTTTGATATTTGAGTGAGAATTTGAAAAATGGATGCAAAAGGATGGTTGATTTGTAAATAGCTAGTTTAGGGTGGTTTTTATGTAATTTTCTTCTTTGGAACCTTGCTATTTACAAAACTAGCACCATTTTGATTTTTACGAGCTGATGCATTTACCTGTGTCATGATCAACCATTGAGAATTTAATAAAAATAAGAACTATGGGTTGCGGTTTTATCATGAATTTTGATATTTGAGTGAGAATTTAAAGAAATAGATGTAAAATAGTGCTGGATTTGTAAATAATAATTTTCGAGTGGTATGTATGTAATTGCTCCTCTTTTTTTTTCTTAGTTGCTGATTGCCCTTTCAATTTGTTGCAGGTTGCCTCAATGACTTCTGATCTGAGACAGCAGAAGCGCGAACTGGACAGAAAAATCTTAAAAATATCAGAACATGGGGTTCCTGTATGATTGATTAGAACTTTCATTTACATTTATACCACCCAATTCTTATGTATTTACATATCTACCACCTAATTTTTGTTTTTTTTACATTCATACAATCCATATCGTTGATATCACATCAAAGATTCCTTAAAAAAATATGGAATACATCTTTTCATGATAGGTAAGATGGCATATATGTAAGAATTGAAGTTTGGGTGTTCGATATGTAAGTACCAAAGAATTGAGTGGTATTTATGTAAATCTTCCTGATTTAAATGCAATTTTCTCTTTCTTTCTAGTTTTAGGCACATTTTGTTGCTTTGTGCCCAACAAAGATAAATTTAAGTTCTTGCTGCAGCCATTAAAATGATTGAAGTGTGCATTTGTATTCATGCCACATAATTTTTATGTATTTACATATTTAACATCTAAATTTTGCTTTTTTTTACATTTATGCCACCCAAATCTTTCACTTTCATATTAAAAAGATCACTATTTGAATTTTTTAAGAGTGAAATGCATATTTTGATGCATATGCATTCATACCACAAAATTGAGAGGTATGCATGTATATCTCTCTTTTTTCCGTCTAATTATTAGGTGCGGAGGGCGCACGCAGAGCTGCGCGCGCCCTCCGTAAGCAATAATCGCTCTTTTTTTTCAACTTCTCTTCCTTTGTATTTCTCTCCTTTCTTCATTTTCTCCCTCTTGCCAACTCTCTCTAAAATTTTCTCTCTAACCGAATCCGTTAAAAGAGAAAATATTACGTCAGGACGTCCGCACGACCAACTATCGATAATCACGTCGCTTGTTGTTGCGGTGTATGGTAATCTGGCGGCCGATGATTGACAATTCGGACGTGCGGCATCTTAATGAAATATTTTAGTCAGTTGAAGATAAATAAATATTATATGAATGTTCTTAATATGAAAATTGATATTAGATGTTTTTAAAAAATTAATACAAAATTACACAAAAAGATTATCTAATTAATACTAACAACAAATAAAGAGCACTTTTAATTAGGGCTGTAAACGAGCAGAGCTTGAGCGAGCTCAGGCTTGGCTCGTGTTCGACTTGTTCGAAATAGCTCGTGTCGAAATCGGCTCAGGAGCAGTGTGTTCATGTTCTGCTTGATTTAAATATTTATGTTCATGTTCGGCTCGTGTTCGACTCGAAATTTGCTCGGAAAAATTAAATTGAAAAAAATAAATGTAAAGTGTGGGATTCGAACATTGACCAAATACATACAAAAGAAGGCATAAATCACATTGCCACAAGAAACGTTATGATTTAAACTTATATATGAATATATATAATATATGGTTATATAAATAATATATGTAATATATTATTATGTTAATAATTATTTAAAACGAGCGTAACACGAGCTAACAAAGAGTTGTTCGTTTTCGGCTCGTTTACTTAACGAATGAGCCGAACACGAGCTATTTAACGAGCCGAATATGAGCTGTTCGCGAACAACGAGCTTTTTTTGACAGCCCTACTTTTAATCATGTAATTAGCACGATTTTCCAAAAAAATAATACCCACAAATTATTTCTATCTGCAGCGGGGAGGCGGTAAATGATTTTTTTAAACTCGAATTATGAACGAGTCAAACACGAACAGTTCTTTATTCGCTCGTGTTCAGCTCATTTTAACTTGAAATAATAAAATCATATAATATTTATATTATAATATATTATATATAATTCTATGTAAATTTAAATCATATCAACTCATGTGTTAATGCGATTATGTATCTTTTTTTGTATAGATTTAATTCTACTTCGAATCATACACTTTGTATCTAATTTTTCTAATTAATTTTAACGAGTCATTTTCGAGCCGAACACGAACAAAAATATTTAAACCAAACAGAACACAAACACACTGTTCACGAGCCAATTTCAAACACGGGCCAATTTTAAACTCAAACAATTTCGAACGATTGCACCTTCACAGTCCTATTTATGGGCGAGTCACGTGCGTTGTTTATCTGAGATGGGGACCACATGCAAGGAAAAAAAATGGGGGCAAGTACATACCATCCCCACGAAACATTGAAGCATAAATCAAGCATCCTTTTACATCTATTTTTCAAATTCTCATTCAAATACCAAAATTTATTATAAAAGATAATTTTTATTATCATCAAATTCTCAAAAGTTGGATCACGACACACATAAATTTAACAATTTGGTAGATTAAGAAATTACATGCGGTTTAATTTATAAATAGCAATATTTCAGGTGCTCTTTATGTGCTAATCAAGAAAGAAGTAAAAGAAATGAATTCATTCATAATACATAAGAATTGAGGGGTAAGTATGTAAATCCTCTTTAAATAAATCTAATATTTATATTATACAAAAAAAAATGACATTTGAATCATTTTTCTAAAAATAAATGCCTCTTTATCACTCTCACACAATTCCTTGATTCAATCACACTTTTATTGAATGAATGCGCATATTTAAATAGGGGCATTTACATACAAACCACCCAATTCCTATGTATTTACATATCTAACCCCAAAACTTCTCCTTTTTACATTCATACCACCCAAATATTTCACATCACATCAAATGAACTTCTTAACTAAATAAAGACAGAGCTATTCGAAAACAATGACCAGCCTCATTTCATTAAAAATAGGGGCATTTACATGCATACCACCCAATTCTTATGTATTTTCATATCAAACTCAAAAACTTCTCTTTTTTACATTCATACCAACCAAATATTTCACATCACATCAAATGACTTCTTAACCAACCAAAGATCTTCTTTGACAAACACAGACCAGACAAACCAGCCTCATTTACATGCATACCACCCAATTCCTATGTATTTGCATAAATAGCCTCCCAAAACTTCTCTTTTTACATTCATATCACCCAAATCTTTCATATCACATCAAAAATCCCACCACCATACATCTTATCAAGCATAGATAAAGTGCTATATATATATATATATAAATTGAACTTTAGGTAACATAGAAATGAATTGCTATGCATAATGTACATATAAATCTTCCTAGAAAACATACTACACAATCATTAGACGCACGATGAAAAGAAAAAGCAGAGAAGACCAATTTAGAAAAGCAGAACCTTTTGGAGCTGATTTTCACTACTTTCTCATCTGTGTCAATAACTCAGCCGGTGGAGGCCTTCCAGCACTGGAATTGCCGGAACCAAACGCAGAGAAGCCGCTAAAGCCTCCAAAGCCACCTGGAGACACAAATTGTTGGGTAGAGATGTGATGGATTGGTTGAAAATTTTTACATAAATACCACTCAGTTTATATGTATTTACATATCTGACGCCGTGATGTAAAAGATTTGGGGGGTATTGACGTAAAAAGTAGAGTTTAGGTGTTAGATATGTAAATACGTAAAAGTTGGATGGTATGAATGCAGAGAAGATATGGTTAGAGCTGCGATGAAATGGTTGGAGAAGAGGGGAAAAAAAGTACTAATATTTGCATGTATGTGCTCATTCCAATGATGCATTTAAAAGAAGGGGGAATTCAGATTCATACCCCCTAAATCAGATGTATTTATAAAACACACCTAAACTTTATTTTTTACATTTAAACCACTGAAATCTTTCAAATCATATAAAAAATGTCACATTTTTTACTTTTAAAAGTGAAATATAGCTTTTCATTAATAGGTAAGGTGGCCCGTATGTACAAACTGAAGTTGGGTGTTAGCTATGTAAATACATAGAAATTAAGTGGTGTGTATGTAAATCTTCCTGTGAAAATAGAAGAAGTTATTTAAAATTGGTTGGGAAATGAGTTGGACAGGATATAATGACAAGATTTTTTTAGGGGGCATTCACATACATGCCACCCAATTCCTATTCATTTACATATAAACACCTAAACTTTACTTTTTACATTTATACCATCAAAATCTTTCATATCACATAAAAAATGCCACTATTTTAACTTTTAAAAAGTGAAATATACCTTTTCATGCATAGATAAAGTGGAATGAATGTAAAAATTGAAGATTTGTGTTAGATATGTAAATACATAGGAATTGAGTGGTATGCATGTAAATATTTTTTTTTGGAACGAGAATCATATAAAAATAGGAGGTTTTAAATAAATACCACGTAATTCCTATGTATTTACATATCTAACACTAAAACTTTCAATTTTTACATACATGCCAACTTACCTATGCATGAAAAGGTGTATTTCACTTTTTGGAAGTAGAGTGGAGGTATTTTTCATGTGATATGAAAGATTTGGGTGGCAACAATATAAAATGTAAAGTTTAGATTTTAGATATGTAAATACATAAAAATTAGGTGGTATGTATGTCAATGCCCTTATTAAATAATAGAAAAATTAGGTAAAGATATCTCTTCCGTTGGCACCCAGGCTAAGGGCAAATTTGTCTTTTTTATGTCTAAGGGAGAGATTTCCTACCTCTCGAATTATAGGAATTGAGAGAGATCACCTAACTCTCGAATTTTGGGTGTTTAACATTATATTTTTGTTGAGTTGTTTAATTTATTGAAGGAATATTATATTTGCAATAACTTGTGTGGAAAAATGTACCAATTTTGAGGTCGGATCATATCAATATCCCAGCCAAAATTTTGACTAGGATGAGTTTTAAAGCTATCAAATTTGCTTTGAGATGAGCACAATACAGATTTTGATTAGTTGCTGCAGTCTTCACAAAGCTAACTTGATGAATTTGAGCTTCATCCTGAGCAACCTTATGGTCAGGGAAACCAATCCAAAGATTTCTTGGAAGATTTACATAAAAAACCACTCAATTCCTATGTATTTACATATCTAACAACTAAACTTAAATTTTTAAATACATATTTATGCATGAAAAGGTGCATTTCATTTTTTAAAAGTTAAAAAGGTGGTATTCATTTATGTGAAATCAAAGATTTGGCTGGTATAAATATAAAAAAGTAAAGTTTAAAAGTTGAATATGCAAATACATAGGAATTGGGTGTTATGTATGTAAATGCCCCTAAATTTCTTTATTAAAGGGAAATGTCAACGGAGGATGGAAGAAAAAAAAATGTTACCTGTTGCAAAAGCGCCACTGGAGCTAGCACCTCCAAAACCACTTCCAGTACCAGCAGCAGCAAATCCTCCACTAAAAGGACCAGCACCGGCAAATCCTCCACCAGCACCAGCGCCAGCAAATCCACCAATATTGGAGGCCACACCAGCAAAGCCACCGCCGGCAAAACCACCGCCAGTCGCAGCACCAGCAAAGCCACCACCGGCAAAACCACCGTTGCCAGTGGCAGCACCGGCAAAACCACCACCAGCAAAGCCACCTCCAGTGGCAGCACCAGCAAAGCCACCAGCATTAGAGATGCCTACACCACTTCCAGCAGCTGAAGCAAAGCCAAACCCTGGCAAACCAGTACCAAGCTGTCGTGACTGCCCGAATGAACCAAGAACCGAACCAAGTGCCTGTTGCCCGGCTCCAAGCTGCGCTGGCTGTCCAAAGCCACTAAATCCACTGGAAAGACCTCCAATTAACGAACTCGAACCGGTAGACTGAGGCAACTGTTGAGATTGAGATTCTGGGAGATTGAAAGAAGGAGGGCGAAAGAGCTGCCCCGGAGATGAACTCCATGAAAGCTGAGGAGTAGCACTGCCTGCGCTAGCCGGCAAAAATGAACTGCCAAAAGGATTTGGTTTTTGGGCATTGGAGGTAGGGGCAGATTGCAGAGAAAAACCACCAAGTGATTGCAAGTTCGGCATGGTATTGGTCTCTAGAGCTTCCTCTTCCATCTCATCCTCTTGGGAAAGGTTAGCATCCAAGGATTCATCTTTCTCTGAGGTCACTGCCATGGCAGACTCAACCACTGATATAAAACCAGATGCAGCAGGTGATGTACTTACATTGGTTACCGAAGGCAGACTAAACTCCTTTATCAGAGGCGGAATCTGTGATGTAATATGTTGCAACTTAGAATTATTAGTATTTCCCATCCCCAAATTGTTGTCGATGGATGAATGTAAACCAACTTCCTTTTCAAGAGGAAAAAAACCACCAACAGAAGCCTGTGATGTCTCTTTTGTTGCTACTGAACTAATTTTACTGGTAAGAGAACTAAGCTCCTTTGGTGGATCATCCCCAGCTGCCTTATTAGTTGATTTTGTCGTCGCTTGTTCAAATTCAGAACCAATTTTAGAATCCTCAGATGGATTTAGCCTTGCCAGAGATGGCATGGACTTGAAGCTGAGTTCATTAGATTTGATCGGTGACGAGAAAATATTTGACGGTGAAGAGTTTACAAACTGGAAGGATGGAAGACCAGAGGAGGTTGCTGAAGCAGTAAACTGTGTTATGGATGCTGTTGAAGTACTTGGCCTAACTGTTGAGTTTTTGGTGCTTGTTTGTGCTGAACTTGCTCGAATATCCGCTTTATTTTTTGGGCTGGTTTCCTGATTTAATTGACCTCCAGTCTCAGCTGCAGAAGCAAGCTTCAAAGGTGAAGAAGTGCCAGAGAATTTCAAGTGGGAAGAAACAGATGTTGGTTTGGACACTGAACCCGTTTTCACTGCAACGTTACTTGAATTGTTCGATGTGGATGATGCACTTATGTTCAACATAAATGGCGAACCAAATTTCTCGTCTTGGTTGCTACTAGACTTGCTAAATATTGATGATGCTGCCAAGGAGAATGGCTGAGTTCCGGCACTTTGAGAGACCAGTGAAGAAGTTGAACTCAAACTTGTATTGGGTTTGGAAGGTAGATCTGAAGGATCTTTCGCCCATTTAAATATGAGTTTGGACTGGGAATCAGTTGCTTTGTTGGAAGATTTCTCTTGAACACCTAAATACGGCGGTGAGTGGTAGAAATGAGAATGAAACTGTAAGCCTAAATTTTGTGCAGCATATGCTAAGCTCCTAGGTACCGGTTACAGAGTGCAAAAAGGACCGACAAAGTGTCAAAATGATCCCTTGACTTTTTGTAGTTTTAGACATTCTAGTTCTAGAGTTTATAAAAGTGTCAATTTAGTCCTTGGATTCTTTTATTATGGACTGAAATAGTCTCTAATGAGGATTATTTTAGCCCCCAATAAAATAGTCTGAAAATTAATATAACACTTTTATAAACTCTGAAACTAAAATAAACTCATGTAAATATTTAGAGTAAATTGAAGAATCTTAAAGTTTTTACCTTTAATTGGAGACTCTTCAATGGATTGAGAGTTAGAATTGCTAAATTTTGTGTTTGATAGAAATGGCGCAGTTCCATTACTTGATCGTTTGGTGACGCCAATGACTTGTTTCTGAGAATCAGAGGCTGCAGAAGAGGCTCTCAAAACATTGTTCATGCCAGACTTCTGGGCGACGTCGAAGGCCTTCACTTGAGAGTCAAAGACCCCTTTAGCTTGTCTGAATGCTATATCTAAGTTTGATCTAACCTGTTCCTTATTTGAAGTCCTTTTAACTGTGGTTCTTGAAGGTTCAAATTGTGACCAACTCTGATGAAAAAAATCACATATTTTTTGTAATTTTACATGGGAATGTCATTTCATGCCAAAATTTTAATTTTCCCCTACTCTTTCCACCTTCATGCCCCACCATTGCTCACATCAAAGAGAGGAATAATATGAGTTCAAGAAGCCAATTGGCCCAACTATATACATGCCGCCCAATTCTTATGTACTTACATTTAGCACCTAAACTTTACTTTTTACATTTATACCGTCCAAATCTCTCATATCACATCAAAAGTACCACAATTTTAACTTTTAAAAAGTGATATATATCTTTTCATGCATAGGTATGGTGGCATGCATATGTAAAAATAGAAGTTTAGGTGTTACATATGTAAATACATAGGAATTGTTTAATGTATGAAATTATTATAAATTTAAAATAGATAATGCTGAGAAAAATTACCTTGTCAAGTAAGTCTCTTTTCCTTCTCGTAGACTCGAATTCATTAGCTTTCATAGGAGCATGATTCAAGGACAGTTCCTTCACGGTAGTTGCTGATGAGGGCAAAGTTCGCTTGGAAGAATATGGCGAATGCTTGTAACTTTTAAGATCTGGAGACACAAAAGCATCAGTTTTGGGATCAAGGCCAATTGATTCAAATAACTCTTTAGTGATATTTCGCTTTTCAGGAGTAGATGAGCTTATATTTAGCACAGCCATCTGCTTTGAAAGGAGTTTAGAGAGCTTCTCAGCTGCCAAAAGTTGGGAGTCTGCGGTACTGTATAAACTATGCAATGAGTCAGCTCGTCTGCAAAAATAAAACTCACTAATGTCAAGCAATATCCCACAGTTTTAACATTTCCATGAATACAGATCTAAAACAAAGAACCAACCCACAGACTAGCAAGTGTGATTACAATTTTATTCATATAAACTTTGAAAAATTATCTTTATTAAAATATTAATTGTTTTTCTATTTAACCATAATAAATAGCTAATTTCTTATTGAGAAGCATCCTGAGTTCAATTCACATAATCCCATAAAGTAAAAGTTAATAAAATTCATGAAAATCCTAATCAATTAAGCTTAGTAAATAGGAACTCATTAATTTTGCTGGCCAGTTATGATTAGATTTATTATTCAGTCTCAATTATCATAATTAATACTAACAAAATACTAATGAATTATAACTAACTGTATTTAAACTAACCAATATTTTATTATTCTGAGCAATCTAAACAATTTAAAACAGTTAGGCAAGTTACGAAAAGTAGGGAAAACAACTTTAAGTTGTTTCACAATTTCCCCCAAAAAACAAACTTAATTTCAAAAAACAGAAATTAATATTGCCAAACATTCGTTCTCTACTAAACTATTTTTTTGCATGAAAAAGCTGTGCATAATCTTCTCATTGCAGCAAAAGTAAAGCTTAAAATTACACAAGCAAAGAAGATAATTAGAGTGAAGTGTTATTCTTTTTCGACAGTTACATTCCTATGTTCCAAAAATCTCCCCTACATAGAAATTTGTGCACCCATCTGTAACTGGGAAGTGTGCTTTCTGCCTTTCTATGGAAGAATTTTTGTTATTGCAATTGATGAAGAATGAATTGAAATCTATTGTAATTGAATAAATTTTGAAAGAAAGGAGTTTCTTGTTTTGGGTCGTCTGTGGCCTATAAATAGGACTCTTAAGGCATGTAAAATAAAAATGAACATTCAATAGTGAAATAAATTTCCCTTTCCTCTAGTATTATATGCATTCCTCCAATGCTTCACAGGTGCGGACAACTATTTCCAAAGAAGAGTCGTTATACTGGTGTGAGTTTCGATTCTTCCTTCAATTAATTACTCAGTTTTCTCATTTTAATGTATTTAGTTCGTGATTTTGCATATAAAATTGATTTTTGTCAGGTGAAATATGAAATAAATTTCTTTCAAAGTGTGAAGTTGACCTTTGCTGTTATTTTATTTTCATTTCTTAGTGAAATTTTGATTTTAAAGACTATTAACTCACCTTTTGAATTAAAAAGTGTATCCAATATTTTCAGAATAAAAGCAAAATATTTTAAATAAATTTTAGAGTTGTTGATCTTTTTGTATTTAATTATGCATCTCATCAAAGATTTGCATTTAAAAACACTAGACCCATAACCACCCTACGTCACTCATATGACATTATAATTTTACTTCATAAGAGGAGAAACTATAAAAAATAGATCAATAGTTTTCAGTACGACGTACTGATGAAAAATAGCTTTGAGGTAGCATACCTTGAGGGTGTGGAGATACACGGAGCTCTCCAACCAGTAGTAGTCGTGTTATATTCACCAAATCTATTAATCTCCAGATTATTGAAATGTCTTTCTAGATCAATAAGTTGATGTGCCAAGTTCTGGATTCAAAAAAGGGTACAAGTAAGTTCAAGTATTTCTAAATTAGAAATAATTAAGTTTAAGAAATACAGTATCAAGACCTGCTTCAAATTTGAAATATGCGACCGTTTTGCTTCAAATGCGGGACTCAATTTTTGGCTATTCCAAAAGGCCCAGTATCTATGATCAGAAGCTTGTTGAACTATACCCTCCATATAAACTTGTCTAGCAGACACTACAAGGAAAAGAAAAATAAGCTTGCAAATAGAGAAAAGAAAAATTATGGGGTAGTTATATTATAGTGATACCGGAACTAGTACGAAATTCGACCGAAAATGCAAAGCAAACTTTTATTGATGTAGAGAAAGGGCAACACAATACATCATAATATAACAACACAAAACATAAACGACATAAGCAAACACCTCTAAATTGTATTCCATGGGCGGTGGAGGTCGACTAGGCGGGTCTGGATGGTTGGCGAGAGTGGAGGCAACAAAGGGATGCCGGTGAGGCAACAAAGGAATGCCGGTAGCAGCAAGGGGAAGGTGCAGAACTGCAGGGATGACAATGATGGAGAGTTGCACAGCAGGCTTTGTTGCAGGACAGTAGTGGTCGGGGTTGGGATGAAGGCTGCTGGAGCTAGACAGCAGGTTGTGCCGCAGGGAAGGTCGGCTAGGTGCTGGCAGGAAGTCTGGGAAGCTGGACAGCAAGGTTATGATGTTGGGGGAGGCCAGCTGGGTGCTGGGAAGAAGTCTGGGAAGCTGGACAACAGGATTATGCTACTGGGGAAGGGCGGTTGGGTGGGGTCATGAAGTAATGGGAGGCCGGAGGCTAAGGTGAGTGGAGGAGAAGGATTAAAAAAGATACATCACCACCTTGGAGTAGAATATAGCGGAACACCACCACCTCCTTCGGATACAACCTTACAAAAGGGAAAAGAACTCCACGCTGGAAATCTGAAAGCAAACACTACAAAAACCAAAGAAAACTCTAAGCATATCACCTCCTATTTAAAGTGAGGATAAGGACTTCTTTAGATAATGTTTAAAATAAGAAGGAAGAATAAAGATAATCAAAATTTCATATTAGGCAGAGTAAGTGAGGGGAATTCATATTTGGAAAGGAAAAATTTCAGATTTCAAATTTCAATAAAAATAATCAGATTTCATATTTGGAAGAGACTTATAATAGGAAGGTGCTAGGAAGGAGAAAAAGAAAAGAAAAGGAAAGGAAATGAAATGGAGAGAAAGGGGAGGAAGAAAACGAAAGGAAGGAGCGGCAGCCCCCCACCCTTTAAGGACCGGTTGGTCCTCCATAGCCCTGGGTCATATAGTATGTGTAATAAAAGCTTTCTGCTATGACACAAAGTATCACCGATACTTCAATAAAATTGTTAGATATCTAATGTAATATTGCTTAACAAGAAATTAGGCTAAACATGTGGTAAAAAATACTTGGGGAAGTGGGATTAGGCTTTTGCCTCTCTTTTTTTTCAAATAATGTCATTGAAGTCATTCATCTATCAAGATGAATATTCTCCTTTCTTAATCAACGAGAAGCATATAGTGGACAAATAAGTGAACAAATGTAACGTAAAATGCATCAAAGAAGATGGTGTATTTTAAGTAATAAACTGCTGCATAAGATAAAATGACACAATCATTTAGGCTCGACTCTTATTAAAAAAAATTAAAATTTTTTTTTCTATGACTAAAAAGAGTAAAACAAGATTCTGATTTCAAGGAGATAACTATAAATAAAGATTATGTGGATCTTGTTCTTTGGCTAATTTTCATCTCGAATGCTCCTGCTGAGAAAACAAATGATTAAATTGACTAGTTCTATTGTGATAAGTTCTAACAAAAATGTCAAAAGGCTCACGGCCCCCGATTTGGCTTAACATACACAAGGAATCTTATTCCTGTGATTCTCACTTTCAACTCATCAAAGAAAGCAGCCTCACCTTCAATGAGACACACGAAGGCTTCGACAAAATAGGACACTCAATTTTAATGTTTGTGTCCCTCGTGCCTCACACAAAGATTTCAACCTCATCGTCGCTCTTCCCTCACAAGAAGCTTAAAACATTGTAGTTTCTGTGCCTACAACACACCAAACTTTCAAGGTTTTGAACAAAGAGGACACCAGGTTTCAATGTTCTTGCCGCTCTAGCGTATAACTAAGGCTTCGACCTTCTTGCCTATCTCACCCCTCACGAAGGTTACAGTATTCTCGCCACCCTACCTTTCCTGCACAAGACTTCCATCGCCTTAAATTTCAAATAGCAAGATCTCGGTGAGGTTTGTGCATGGTTAGATCCACTTTTGATGGGTTCGCTGCATCATTGGTTCTTTTCTCCACATATTTAGTGCATTTTAGATAATGACATGAACATACCTTGACGTTGGCCGCTCACCCTTAAATCCAACTAGATGAAGTGGAACGGCACAACAAAACAAAATGGCACAAGTCATTTATGTCATGCATGGGCAATGACACAAGATACATTGCACTTATAGCATGTGGTAAATTGATTTTTATAGTGTTCACATGGTACCTAGAGAACAAATGCACGAAACTCTCCATCCCAATGCTCGCTCACACGATATCCTACGGCTCTCTCTCACACGACATCCTATGGCTCTCGCTCGCATTGCATCCAACAACTCCCACTTGTACGACATGTCAACAGCTCTCACGATGTGTCCCAAGGGCTTTCACTTAGACGAAGCGATACTGGCAAAGAAGTGTGATTGTAGAATTTCAACACAACTGCAATAAAGAATTTTTTTTTGTGAAGATTTCACAACCCAAGTCACATCCTCAAATGCAAACTAGCGAACCAATGCATGAAGCTCTCCATCCAAATGCTCTATTCGCTCTTTGCTCACATGGCATCCCATGGCTCTCGCAAACATGGCATCCCAACAACTCTCGCTTGTATGGAATCACGACGACTCTAACAAAGCGTCCCAAGGGTTTTCAATCACACGAAGTGGTGTCGACAAAGAGGTATGATTGTAGAATTTAACAATAATCAATAATTGCAGCAAAATTTCTGGAGACAAAGAACCGAAAAAAATGAATATTATTGATGTAAACGAAGCACAAGAATACACATGACAAGACACCACCTGGACCGCCAACTCCAAGATACAGTTGCAAGGAAGATGAACGGGGTAGCCCAACCTCCCAAATGAAAGAAATTCGCAATTCTAAAAAATATCCTCCTATTCATAAAACAATACTTATTTATAAGCACTAGGGCACCCCTTATTACAAGCTTGCCATCCAAATAAAAAAACACATAAAAACAAATAACTGAAACATAAAAATTGAACTTTAACATAATGTGGACATCAGTAGTTTTGATGCCCCCGCGTCACGAAGTCCCAACACTTCTATGAGAACTGCGCTATAGTGCCACTCACTCGTGTGGCATCCCAACAAGCTTCATTTGAGTGGTACCAATGTATGTCGCTCATGCATCATCGTGTTGCATCCTAGTGCTGCTCACTCGCACAACTTCCGAACAAGCTCCACAGGTAGTCGATTTGGTAGGCCTAGCAAGCTTAGGTTAACTTGGAGTTATATTATAAATTAATTTATATAGAATCATATTATAAAGGCATTTATAATTGCATAACTTGGAATAAAAAACAACAAGATTAGAGCACTCATCTCAGATCTTAGCCATCCTAATATTTATAAATATATTTTAATCATCAATTATTGTTCATCTATTACTATTTATATTTTAGTATTTATTCTAATCGAAGTACTTAGCAGACATAAAATAATTATTTTTATTTAGTCAAAATGGTTTCAAACATATTTTAACTTAGAATCTAAGGAATTAAAATAGCCCTTCAAAATTTGGCCCAGTACTTCCCCTTGAAATGCTAATTGTTTGGATTAATAATAAAATATATCTTTAAAATTCAAGGATTACAACAACATTTTCATAAGTCGGTAACTATATAAAGGTTCATTTATTCAAAACCCTGATTGATTGACTTAATAAGATGTACAAATCAAAGATCACTTGTCATGCCTACCAAGACTCGGTTCTCCACTACCTTTTTTACATTACATCATTTTCAATGAGAACAAATACATTTGTGGTAAAAATTACATGTGAGAAATTTATGTTGGGTCCTTATTCAAGGGAAGCTAAAGAAAAACAAGCACAACAAACTATTTAGAAACAATCTTTTTGAAAAATTAAGGTATATGAGCTCAAAATCAGTGGCTCTATATTGAGATATTAAATTGATTGATGAAGAAATAAGACCTCAGACGGGTTATATATATAAAGCTATGAATAGGAAAAAAGAAGCAATTGTTGCTAGTTTGAACAATAGTGATAAAGACGAGTGAATTTTTAAAATTTTGGATAAAAGATGGTAAGTGCAACTTCACCAACCTCTACATGCAGCAACACATTTTTTAAACTATGAAGATTTTTTTGACATTGCAAAAGAAAAATAAATAGTTGACGGATTATATGCATGCATTAGAATATTAGTTAGGATGTCGATGTAGAAGATAAACTTAGCAACGAGTTAAGTGTGTATATTAGAGAGAATGACTGTTTGGTATTCCTCCAACCGTAAGACAAAAGACCTTTAGAGCATCCAGTAATATGATTTCAGCAAAATTATAATTAGTATTGAATAATCTATTGATATTTAACAAATAAAGAAAGTGGCTAAAAACTTCCACCTGATGGTGGCTAGAATATGGCCAATAAGCTCCAAACTTACAATATCTCATTTTCTTGACCATAAATATCCCTAGAAACCTTCTCCTATTTATTACGCCAACCACCTCAATGTTTCCTCTTAGTTCTAAAATGAATAAAAAAGAATCAAAGTAGAGATAAGCATAAGAAGAAGGTAGGAATGATAACAAAGAGTGAGAAGCATCTTGAAGGAGTGATGCTCCCCCTAGAGAAGAGGACAAGTTACTTAGATGGAAGCATAAAAACCTTCAATCAAGAGAATTTTTACTAGAACTGGAAGCATGAAATATAAAACATGGCATGGGGATTTTATAGCCTTAAGGTGACAAATCCCTCCCCTTTCTATATTTATGTGGTTAGTGCTTAAACAAACTTATAGGAAGGTACAACCGGATAAATACAACGTTTCATGAAGAGGTGTGAATGAATGGATGCAACCTTTCATGAAGCAGACTTACATGAATATGTGTAAGTTATAATTTATACAAACCTTAATGAATCACCCTTACATGAGTTGTGAATGGATATATCTTCTCATAAATGGATGCTTTACAACTTTAACATGCTTACATCTAGGGGGCAGTATGGAAACCTTGGCATCCTTCGGACGCAAGAGTCATATGAGTGGCCTAAACCGTAAGATAGAATAGGTTAACAATAGAGGGGTTTTACATATTACATTTCCCAAGGCATACGCATAAACATGAAATAATAGAAAGTTTACAGGACAAACATGTCCACCTTCCTATAAATAACATTCATCTGAATGTTTAATCACCTTGTTAGCAAGTCAAGTGAAACAAATGTTTTCAAAACGATAAACACAATATGATGCATAATGGTTCCCTTTTGCTTTATTTCAATGCGATACTTTTAATAACTAAAACATTAATAACATATTATGTCTATACATATCATATGCATAGAATAGTCACTTAATCATTAAAATTTATGGTGCGGGATGATGTTGGAGACGAGGGAGCCAAAGCGAAATCACTGGCGCGAAGTGAAAGCGTGATCTAAATCCCGCAACTGTGGAATTTCATGATTGTCGGGATTCCATGTTTGTAGGAATTGACCCGTGTAGCCTTTCAATCCGGGAGTAATTTCATGGGAACGGGTTCGCCGACTTTCAACTATTCACATTTTTTTCCTTTTGACTTTTTTCAAATTTTCCTATTTCTAATTAGGTTATTTTCTATGGCGGAATTATTTATTTCTTGTTAATTTCCATTTTTTCACACTTTTACTCTGATTTGAGTATTTGAAAATTGAAATCTCTATTTCTACCTTAAATAGTGTTGTATCATCTTCCTTTTGCAAATGATGTGTCTTTTTGCAAATGATGTGTCTGTAGCTTGTGCATGAACAGAAGTGAACCTCTTCGACCTCCGTGTCGTGCCAATTCATCATCCATCTCACTTTTTTCGGCTGAGACAACTGCCTATCAACGGCGAATCTGTTGTCCAATAACAGTTTTCGCCAACTAATCCTTCCAAACACAATCAACCTCCGATATTCTCCTTCTTGAACCATTCCACAACTATCTCCCCATAAGACACATATTCTAGGAACCACATAATGGTGTTAATTTAAATTGCATCCAGTCATTTTCAACATATACAAAGATAGGTTCAATAATAACAATTTTCAACCATCTAAAAGCCCAAAAAAAAAAAAATTTTAGAAAATATATTAATGCATAGAATAGACATTTAATCATCTATGTATTTGGTTCGTTATTTATTTACTTTTATTTATTTAAAATTGGCTCATATTCAGTTCAAATTCAAATGAGTCGAACACAAACATATTATTCATGAATAATTTCAAACACAAACTGAATATGAACAAAAAAAAGTAAAATAGTCAAACACAAACACACAACAAAACTCATTCAAGCTCATCTCCTATGTGTGCAAATAGAGGAAAGGATCATATTACAAATAGGCGAGTGTTAACATAAGATAACAAGATGCATGTGACTAGAGGATGGATAATAATGAGTATATGTTACGGTCATTAAAAGCCAAAGTGTCAAACAAGATGTCATGAGTTGGGCCCTAAAAAAGATAATGTAGTCAACAAAGAAGAACTGATCATTGAACATGGAACGATGAGCTTAGATTGAAGAAGGTTGGAGCAAACATTGGAGGAGATCATTTAGTAGGTGGATCGAGAGTGATGACTTTAAAACCATAAAGAAATAAAAGAAAATTATAAAGGATACATCTTTATGGGATTGTCATCCTAGCACAAAACAAATGGGCACATATAAATAAAAGAGAACAAGCAATGGAAAATGTAATAAAGAAGAATATAGGCAATGTTGAAATATATTATAACAATAAATAATGCAGATCCTTCCTATAAAAAATTATCATGTGATACTTCTAGAGGAGACGAATACCTTTCAACATCTTATTACAGAGCTGTTGGATCTCCATACGTTGATATTCCATTTTGTCCTAAACGTGAAGAAAAATAAAGAGACCAATATCAGCAATAAAACAATAATGCAAACATATATAACAAGGTGCAGATATGCATCAAAGATGAACGATATGGAATACCCTATTAGCAAATAACCGCTCTAAGAGATCTTCAAGACCAGCTTCCAATTCTAAAAGTGATTTTTCCTGAAGGACGGTACAGAGATCCTTGAATCCACCTTCACATTCAATAGAAGATAGCAAGGCATCAAGTTCCTTGGCCATATCCTTCACCTGGAAAGACGATGAAAGAGAGAACTTAGAAGTAAAACCTGAACATAGCTGCCATTAATACTGGGAAAAGTATCCGCTGAACTGCATTTATTTGCAGGTAACAAAAAGTAGCCTTGTGCAATTTTGAACACTGCCAAAATTTATGGGAAGAAGACTTTTCTATATAATATCCAATATCCAAAATAAAAAAATATGGCAGGTTAAAATAATAGAGCATGCTAATAAAACGAAGCTAAAGAGGAACAAATTAGCTCATTAACGGAACAGGCAAAAATACTAGATGAATTCAAGAGCGTGAAAAGTAGATTGAAGCTAAGCTATTAAACATCGACGTTCCTTTTGGAGTAATGGTGGAATTCATCAAAACTCCATATTTAAGCGTGCTTGCATGGGAGCACTCCTAGGATGGGTGACCCCCGGGATGTTACACCAATGAAGCTAAATCGTAAGGCGATCAGGTCGGAGTGGACAATATCTGAATGGGTGTGAGTTCAAGCTAATACAAATGGTATCAAAGCATTGCACCAACCTGAAGATGCGAACTAAGTGTCATACAGAACAAAGTGTCGCGCCATGGAAGCCAATTCTTAAACCCAAGATGGGACAAAGTGTTACATGGTGAGAGCCACCTCTTGAATCTATAGGGTTCACCTTTAGAATCATATTTGCTTGGTGGATAATTATGGGTTTAGAGCACTCACAAAAATGTCAGTTACCAAAGTGGGGGAAATTGTGAAACTTCTTAAGTAGATTGAAGCTTACCTCTTAAACATTGAGGCATCTTGTGGTGTAATAGTAGAATTTCATCATAAACACCAAAGTTAAGTGTGCTTGTATGGGAGCACTCCTGGGATGGGTGACTACTTGGGAAGTTACACAAACGGGGCAAAACTGTGAGGCCATTAGGCCAAAGCGGACAATATACTTAGAGTATCAAAGCGTTACACCAGCCCGAAGATAGGAACTAAGTGGCATACATAACAAAGTTCTAGACCATCCAGACCACCTCTTGAACCCAAGATATGATAAAATGCTACATGGTGAGAGCAATCACTTGAATTTGTAGGGGTCACCTCTAAAATCCTTTCCGCCTGGTGGATGATTATGGGTTTAGAGCACTGATAAGGACATCAGTTGTTTAAGTGTGGGATTGTGAACCCATAAGCATATGAGGTGTCTAATGATGTATGGTGGAATTTTATCAGAATCTCCAAAAGTTAGGTGTGCTCACATGAGAGCACTATTTGGATGGGTGATCACCTAGGAAGTTACAACAAAGAGACAAAACTGTGAAGCCATCAAGCCAAAGTGGACAATATCTCGATGGGAGAGAGTTTGAGTTTTTACAAAGAGTTATACACCAAATGCAGTTTTCTTTATCTGAACAATAAATAATATTGAATAGGAGATATTTTAAGGTTTGCGAAAGTGAACTACACCCATGACCTTACAGCAGAACTTTCAATTATAAGCTATGAATTTGTAGAGCAAAAGTGGCAGTTAAAAACTTATCAAGAACCATTACATCACTTAAAAAACAAGCACTAAATGAATCGGTTGGATATTCCTTTGAAATAAAACCCAAGAAGGTTTTATGACCATAATGTATTGATCATTGCTATCAATTCAAGTGCAACTCAGTCAGCTTGACATCAAAGCATGTCGATAATGAATATAATAATGAAGGAAATATTCGTTGAAAAATACTGCAAAATAAATATAAAGCTAAAGCAAACAACATTACTGAGGTTTCTTACATTGTAAAACTGCTTAGAAATTTGTGGTTCAGATTCCAATCTCTGATAAGGCTTGAAAGATGTGGAATTAGCAAGGAGCTGTTGCGCAGAGCCAGGCAACTTTGCTGAAGCGGCTAGCGATGAGCTGTGGAGGATGGATGCTGACCCTGGGTATACTGACTTAGTTGATGGGTTTTGCATGCCACTCTGATTGACATTTTCTAATGATTTCGGCGTACCAAATGGCTTGCTAAAAGGAGGAAAATTGGCTGGAGAATTACTTGGAGGAGAAAATGGTACTTTATTGATCATTCCAGCCGAATTTGATTTACCAGGAGTTGATAATGAAGGCTTTGCAGCTGCTGCATCAACGGCAAAGGGCATTGGCATTACAATTTGTGACGAAAATGAAGTTCCATCCTTTATAGTTGAACCAAGACTTCTACTGGCCTCGGTTCCTTCTACAGCAGACGAGACACTTGAATTTGAGCCATCTAAAACAAAGTTCTTCTGAGCTGTTTTTGAACCAAAAGTAGATCCCGCAGTATTAGCAGAACCAAGAATTTTACCAGCCCCAGCCCCTTTAACCATCAATGAGTCACCCCCCATTTTGCCACCTGATGAAACATATTAACATTCTAAAGAAGAAATAATACAAATATTGAAAACTTCTAAATTTTGAGATAGTGAAAAGAACAACGGTGCCAAAGAAGAAATCATAATAAGTAGATCTAATCAGCTCCTACACCCACTTGCACCTATATCAGGCTTACCAGGGATAGGATGCATCTTATCTGTAATGGCAGCATCTTGGCCATCATTCAGCCTTGAGGTAGTCACGTCCAACTCACTTTCAGCTGAACTTACAGTGCAAAATCCCTTGTTCACAATATTGTCACCATGGTGGGAAACCGTCATTGGCAAATCAGAAGGTTCAGAAACCCTGCATTAGATGGTAGGTACCACAGTGACTTAAAGAGAATTGAGGCCAACAAAATTTCATTCATTTGAAAGCTAGTCCTTTACTAAAGCAATAATTATCTTGATAGTGAAATTACTACATATGAATTTATTAATTTACCAAGCAGCATGATTCAACGTAAGCTTTCCATCACAAGTAAGACACAAGAGAATACATCGTGGTGGAAGTTCTTTGAACTCCAAGTCTCTCTGTATCTTAATTTTCTCATACAATGAACTTTTATCAACAGCGAGACCTACTATTAAATTGTCATCTCCATCATCTGAAATTGAAGAAACAATTTAGCCATTATTCCAAAAGTGAAGCACCAAAAAGTATAAGGATATGATAAAATTTAAAAAGAATTAGAAAATAAATTGTGCAGTATGAACACAAATAATTTATGAATTTAAGGGAAGTGTAGATTGAGGTACCATTATTTTCTATATATTTAATAAACAACTTCAGCAAAATATAACCCTATGTTGGGTAATGTGGAGACCCGATCCACCAAATTTAATTAGCTTCTTAATTAAGTATCTCACCTACCGCTCACCTACCACACCCACATACCGCTCACCTAACATATCCCACCTACCGCTCACCTACCTCCCACCTACCACTCTCATGGTTTTTATAAATAATCTCTTTTGGTTTAAAGGAAATGCAAGTCAAGCAAGACCAAGCCAAGTCATCTTGAGAGCTAAGAGAAAGAGAGGAAGAGAGAGAGAGGAAGGGAGAGAAGAAAATAAAGATTTTCTTGTAAATGTCGAGGCACTCGACGGTGTAATTCATCAAAGAAATAAATCCTCTGCAGCTCCATGGACGTAGACAAATTTGTCGAACCACGTAAATCTGTTTCGCTCTGGTATTTTTTCTCTGTGTGCAATTTTACTGGTTCCATTTTTTTACTTTATTGTCGTCGTTTTTCACAACTGGTATCAGAGCTTTGGGTTCGAATCTAAGGAAGAACAATGGATGGAGACGAAATGATGACATCGGGGATCGAGAAGTTCAATGACACAGATTTTACTTACTAGATGATGCAAATAAAGGACTTCCTCTATGAAAAGAAACTCCCATCTTCCGTTATTGGAAAAGCGACCAGAAAAGAGGGACAAGACGGAATGGAATCTGTTGGATCGACAGTTTTTCGGGGTTATACGATTAACCCTGTCGAGATCGGTGCCCACAACGTCATCAAGGAGAGGACTATTGCAGATCTCATGATGGTTTTATCAGGTATGTATCAAAAGCTATCGACGAATAATAAGTTGCATTTGATGAAAAAGTTATTCAACTTGAAGATGGTAGAAGGTGTATCTGTTGCTCAATACCTAAATGATTTCAACACTATCACAAATCAATTATCGTCTGTTGAAATTGATTTTGATGATGAGATACGTGTCTGATATTGTTAACATCATTGTCAAATAGCTGGGAAGCCATGAGGATGACAATTAGCAGTTCTACAGCTAAATCTAAGCTGAAATATAATGATATTCGTGATTTGGTTTTGGCTGAGGATGTGCGCAAGAAGGATTCTGGCGAGGTCTCGTGTTCAAGTTCAACGCTGAATGTTGATTCCAGAGGGAGATCACATGACAGGAACTCAAAGAGAGGATGATCAAAATCAAAGTCTGGTCAGCAGGCAACCTGTTGGAATTGTGGCAAGGTTGACCACATCAAAAGAAACTGCAGGAATCTTAAAAAGAAGGAGAATGATGATGCTAATGTTGTAACTGAAGAAATTCATGATACATTATTGCTAGCAGTTCACAGTTCTATTGATGACTGGATATTGGATTCAGGGGCTTCCTTCTATACATCTTCCTGTCGGGAGTTAATGCGGAATTATATTGCAGGTAACTTTGGGAAGGTACATCTGGCTGATGGAAAAGCTCTGGACGTGGTGGGGATGGGAGACGTTGATATTGCAAAAGGTCAGGCACGTTTCTGAGTTGAAAAATCTCATCTCTGTTGGGCAGCTCAATGAGGGTGGTCATTCAGTGGTGTTCTCAGATAGCATCTGGAAGATTACCAAATGAGCATTAGTAATGACTTGGGGTAAGAAAACTGACACACTATATATGACTACAGGTTGACTCAGGCGTGGAAACATGAGTCAGGTGCATTATGGGGAAGCAAAAGAATGCTCATTTCCTGAAAAGTGGCAGAGCGCCAAAGGCAGGAAAACCAGACCTTGTACAGACAAATGGTAGAGAAACACAGAGTTACGAAGAAATCTTGCAAGATAAGAATTCGAGCAAGTGGGAGCTGACCACGAAGAAAGAGACGAAGAAAGAGACGGATTCTCTGTCAGGGAATCAGACTTGAAAGCTGACAGAACTTTCACTAAGGAAGAATGCATTGCACAGCAAATAGGTGTACCAAGTGAAGACTGTGTCTGGCGGCAGTAAGAGGTATAAAGCTGGACTTGTTGAAAAGGGTTTTCAACGGGGACAGGATATTGCTCATGCAGTGGGAGTTGTAAGCAGATACAAGAGTAACCTAGGAAAGAACTTGGTGATACGAGGCTACGTTGACGGTGATATGTCAATTGAGGGTGTTACTCGTGAGAAGTTGAAGTTGTGCTTAACTTCAGCTGGTCTTCTGGCATGAAGACAGGGGTTTTGAGTTGCAGAAGTGGAGGATATCATGTTTGAGGAAAAGGTCGATACAGCTAGTAAATGATGCAGCTAGTAGTTGATGCATCCAGTGTTCCAGTCTTCAAGTGGGAGAATTGTTGGGTAATGTGGACCCGGTCCACCAAATTTAATTAGTTTCTTAATTAAGTATCTCACCTACCGCTCATCTATTACACCCACATACATCCCACTTACCCTATCTCACCTACCCCTCACCTACCGCTCACATGGTTTCTATAAATAGTCTCTTTTGGTTTAAAAGAAATGCAAACCAAGCAAGACCAAACAAAATCATCTTGAGAGCTAAGATAGAGGAAGAGAGAGAGAAGGGAGAATAAAATAGAGATTTTCTTGTAAACGTCGAGACGCTCGATAGTGTAATTCCTCAAAGAAATAAATCTAAATAAATCTTCTGCAGCTGCAGCTCCGTGGATATAGACAAATTTGTCGAACCACGTAAATCCGTATGTCGCTCTGATATTTTTTCTCTGTGTGCAATTTTACTCGTTCCATTTTTTACTTTATTGTCGTTTTTCACAACACCATAGACATATGTGAAGGCTTTCATATGACTAACAAGAAAATTTTAACAAAATGAAGGAAAGATCTATCAGGAAATTCTAGAATCACGCAATGCGAAATTGTATCATGCCACTAAGCACATTATTTTTGAAGGATTTTCTAGGTCCAAATAAGTGTGTAGCTCATGACAGTTCTCTTAAAACATCCCCCCAGCTTTTTCTGTCAATTTTCTCTTGACAAAGCATACTTGAAAACGGAACATGCCAACAACTAAACACAGTTGAAATAGCTTCGATCAGGAATGGTTTATAGCTAATTATATTTTCAAAAAATACACAACAGAAACTGCAACAAAATGAAAAAAATAGATGGGGAAGTAAATGATACCGGATTTAACCCAAACTACAATAAGAAAAAGCAAATGTTACTTACTAAAAAGAAATAGATGGATACGACCAAACACACTGGGAAGGGAAATAATAACAAAACAGAGACAAAACTCACACTAGGGCTCGATCTAATGAAGGTGGCAGTCGGCTGGGTAGCTGAGACAGCAAATAAAGAGGCTAGAATTTCATTGGCAATGAAATGGAGGGCATAGAACAACAGTTGCAACCAAAGGGTGTTGTGAAAAAATACGGCAATAAAGTGAAAAATCGGATCGAGAAAAATGCTGAAAAGAAAAACATAGTAGAAACACATATTTACGTGGTTCGGAAAATTGTCTACGTCCATGGAGCTGCAGAGGATTTTATTACTCAAGGATTACACTCGACGAATACAAGAAAGAACAATCTCTCTCTCTCTCCTCTCTCTTCTCCTCTTTCATCCTCTCTACCCGAGAGCCACAATCAAGAAGAAACGTCGGAGGAAAACCAAATCCCGAGAGATATTACAAAGAGAGTCAACATGCCTATTTATTAATTTCATCATGTCATTAGGCCTATTAAAGAATAAATCAAATAATTAATGAAGTCTGTTAATTTTTTTTTCTCTTCTGCAGCAAATCATACAAAAAATTAAGAGCAATTAATTTCGAGTATCAAATATAATTTGCTACCAAACATGATAAAATGTTAATTTGAACAGTGGACCGGTTTCCATATTCATAACAAATCTCCCACTTGAAGACTGGTACAATGGTTGCATCATCCACTGGCTGCGTTGTCCTTTTCTTCAAACGTGATATCCTCTATCTCTACAACTCAAAACTTATTTTTTCATGCTAGAAGACCAACTGAAGCCGAACACAACATCAATTTCTCAAAAGTAACATCCTTAGTTGACATATCAGCGTTAACATAGTCTTGTACCTCCAAGCACTTTCCTGGGTTACTCCTACATTTGCATACAACTCTCACAGCATGGGCAATATCTTGTCTCTGCTTAAAATTCTTTTCAACAAGTATAGCATTGTATCTCTTACTGCCATCCGGCGCAGTCTACACCCGGTACACACACTTGTCATACAATCCTCTATATGCATCATTCACTAACTAAAATCAGTGTCATTAAACTTCTCGATCCCCGATATCATCACATCATCTCTGGCCATCGCTTTCCATCATATCTGAACATGACTTTTGATACCAGTTGTTGTGAAAAACGACGCAATAAAACAAAAAATTGGATCGAGAAAAACGCAAAACAGAAAACACAACGGAAACACATAGACTTACGTGATTCGACAAATTGTCTACGTCCCCAGAGCTGCAGAGGATTTTATTGCTCGAGGATTACACCCGTCGATCGTCTCGATGCTTACAAGAAAGATCAATCTCTCTCTCTCTCCTCTCTCCTCTCTCCTCTCTTCTCTCTCCTCTCCTTCTCTTTACCCGAGAGCCACAATCAAGAAGAAGAAATGTCGGAGAGAAACCAAATCCCGAGAGAGATTATAGGGGAGCTAACATGTCTATTTATTAATTTTATCATATCATTACATCCGTTAAGGAATTAATCAAATAATTAATGAAGCTCATTAATTATTTCATTTTCTTTTCTGCAGCAAATCATGGGAATTAAGAGCAATTAATTCAGCCATTAATTTTGAGTATCAAATCCAATTTGTTGTCAAACATGAGAATGTCAATTTAAACAGTGGGCCGATTTCCAT